CATATTTAACACCCTAAACTTAAATATTACATTCTATCACTCAAACACTAATTTAAAAACAAATATACCACTCCATCAACATCGAAGCCTCACTCTGTCTCTACATACAGCAATCCCTTACTGTGTAAACTGCTCGCCTGCTCTTCCCGTGAAACACAACCTCCTCTCATGCTCTTCATAAGAACTCCTATGTTTGCTTGCTCTTTCTACCACCCGCTGAGATCTCAAATGATGAACTCCCACTAAGATCGTCTACTCTTGCAAGATCTGTCATTCATGCGATTTAGGTATGTTTCGTTTCATTTACTTCTTGTCAAACGCTAAGCCTTGTCATTTTCTATAAAAGATGCAGTTTGTTTTATATCTTCCATTGCAAAATATTTAGCAATATGTGTTATTGACATTTTAGAAATTGTGACAGACCGCCTATTTTTCTTCTATTTGTGTTTTTACTCTATTAGGCATGCTACAAAGCTATCACCTTTCTCTCACGCTTGCCCTCTGTTGATGAGCGTTGATCAGTTTAATGTTGATAAGCGTGGATGTTATTTTCATTTAGATATCTTGATTGTTCTATGCTTTTATCTCGTGCAGATCTCTGGAGTTTATATACAAATTGTTGATTCTAAATCAACATGATTTGAGTGTATTACTTAGCTCAGAAGCATTTTGCAGATAACTTGTTTCAGACATTTATCATATTTTTCAAAATATGTGTTGAATAAAAGGAGTTTTGGTTTACTGTTTATAAGAATTTACTTTATAGCTTAAACTGCAGCTATGCATGGTTATTGAAAGTTTGTAAAATGCTAATTATGCTCGAATTGTTCAATTTAATGCTAAACCAAAATCATTTTATGAGTATCCCTAATTTTCTCTACTTTGTTGACAGATTGTGTGTCATTTAAAATGAGTTCAACTAATTCTTCTGCTGCAAAATGCAGGCGCACATATTCTCATGTTTATTGTCATTGTCATCTGAAATGTGTGTTGTATAATTGCTACCATGGACCTAATTGTAGAAGACAATTTTATAGGTGCATTCATAATCAAACAGATGATGACTTTAGTTACTTTAAATGGACAGATAAAGTATAAGAGGCATTTTATGGCACACATAATGAATTCAAAGGTTTTGAGGCAAAAATTTGTAAGAAGCTTGACTTGAGCATCTTCTTGATGAAAGTCTTTATTGTTGTTGTTCTTGTTGATGCACCATTCGTATTTCTTTTACCTTGTAATGTGTTGTGTCGAAATGGGTTGAATGTTGAAGTAGTTGCAGAGATCAACGTGTGTTATGTTTGTAGTTTGTTTGCTTGGTCGTCAATGTTAATTGTGTAAAAATGTATTTGCTTGAAGTTCCAATTTTGCAATCTTGTACTAACATGTTGATCAAGTCTATTGTAGTTTGTTTGCTTCTCTAAATATATGGAATGAAAAAAAATTCTAGAACATGTTGTTCATGACTAGCCATATTTTTTTGTTTAATTATTTGTATTATGAAATTGATGGGATTTTACAGAGTGAATGATCTGATACAACATGGAAAAATGCACATGCATTTACATTAAAAAAAAAAGTAGAAGGATATATGAGAAGATAATCACATTCAGCAAAGTTGTTATTTAGAGAATGAAATTGCTTCAATATAGCAATCCAAGTTCCAAAATTGAAATCCAAGATCCTTGAGAATGAAAATGGTTTAATACATTGAACTTATATTGAACTTCAAATTTGGCAATCCAAGTTACAACTTATGTGTAGTTGCAGCTCTTATAAAGCTATACTAAAAAATCTTACAAAGTTATACAAAAAATTGAAACAACTATATTCAAAAAATGGTCATTAGAGAATGATCTAAATGTTATAAGCCATCCATATATGAATACTTGAACTCCTGCACCTCAAGGTCATCTGCAATACATCTACTTGGCAACTTCACTCATCTGTGTTGTCCTACTTTTGTGTTTGTTGTCTCCTCGACTTCTCGTTATTCTTATTTTGCAAAGGGTTCTTGCAAGTACTCTAATGTAGGGGTGTTAATTTTTGACACGACCCGAAACACGACCCGAATCCGACCCGAAAAAATTTGGGTTCGGGTCAACCCGAACCCGAAACGAATCGGGTTCAGGTTGAACAAATCAACCCGTTTTAAAAATCGGGTCGGGGTCGGGTTCGGGTTGACCCAGCAATCCGAAATTGACCCGAAAGTGACCCGAAAATCGAATATTGACCCAATTTTTTATCCGAAAATTAGCAATTTTAGGTCAACTTCGGGTCATTCGTGTCGGGTCAGGTTGACTCGGACCCGAATTGGGTCGGGTTCGGGTCCGGAAACCTGACCCATTTTTAAAAACGGGTCGGGTTCGGGTTGACCCGAACAGTGCCGGGTCAGTTCCGGGTTCAACCCGAACCCGACCCACTGACCCAAATTGACACCCCTACTTTAATGATGCCCCCATTGACCACACCTACCACATCTATGTGATCTCTTATCTTGGTCCAAGAAATTTAACAATCTTCTTTTCCTTGATACTTTATATTAGTATAGGCATTAGCTGACACCCAAACCAGTCCTTGCACTTTTTTCCCATCTTTAAAATATTTTTTTTATTATTCTTCCACAAATGTCGAATACAAACTCTATGCTTAGCTTCAAGATATACTTCTCTAATTGCCTCACCCAAGCCCTTTTCCATATCTGATATGAAATAAAGAGGTTCTAAAGTAGTATCAATTGTCTCTCCTAAGTTTTGAAGGAATCATGACCATGTATGTTTGGATTCAGTCTCAAAAACAACGTATGCTAATGTGAATAAGCCATTATTTTCATCAAGTGAGTTGGCCAATAAAAGCACACCTAAATATAGGGGTGTCAATTCGGGTAAACGGGTCATGTTCGGGTCGAACCCAGAACTAACCCGACACTATTCGGGTCAACCCGAATCCGACCCTTTTTTAAAAACGGGTCAGGTTTTCGGACCCGAACCTGACCCGACACGAATGACTCGGGGTTGACCCAAAATTGCTAGTTTTTGGGTCAAAAATCGATCAATCTTCAATTTTTGGGTCAAAATGGGTCTAAACGGGTCATAAACGAGTCAATCTCGGGTTTTCGGGTCAAATATGAGTTTTCGTGTCACTTTCAGGTCAATTTTGGGTTGTTGGGTCAACCCGAACCCGACCCGATTTTTAAAACGGGTTGATTTGTTGAACACGAACACGACCTGTTTTGGGTTCGGGTTGACCCGAACCCGGATTTTTCTGAGTTAGGTTCTGGTCGTGTCAAAAATTGACACCCCTGTCTAAATACTTGGATTTAAGATGACATACATCCAAACTTACAAGTGGTCTGCACCCAACAAGAAATCCATTAGCACACACCTTGAAACTTACATAAAAACTCTGGAAAGAATTATAAATACTGTTAAATGTATATGTGATGCGTTATCCCGAGTTTTTATCAAGTAGTTTTGTTTTCAATGTTGAAATCCATTTATAGTTGTCATCAACTAAGCGAAATATGGCATAACGGGCTTGTTCTCTTGCCCTCCAAAGCTTCATATAAGGTAATAATAAATCAAATTCTTTCTCTAGACCACTATTTATTTATTTTGGTGGAATATCTGGATATCTTTTGACCATCTCCTGAACCTCATTGGCAATCCATGCATATATGACTAGCTGATTCCCAGCATGATTTATCCCAAGGCATGTGTGTACTTCATCCGCTCTCCTAACTTGAAGTGATTGAGTGTCTTCATATAGGGATGCTGAAATTCTCCATTGACAATCTTAATAGGAACATGTTGCAATAACATGTTTCTTATCATAGAGTATTCTTAAAACTTGTTGTATCATTAAAAAATGCACCAATAGTGATATTTGCAACACTTGAAGTCTGAACTCTTGAAGAACCGTCATTCTAAGTAATAGAACATTCTATAATTTGTTCAATACTCTCAACCCCCATAAGATGTGAATGTGATTGATCTTCATCTACCTCATGTACTGAGATAACTATCTTGGCACATAAATTTGCATTTGATTACCAACTGGCTCACATCAACATCAGAATTGATTACTTTGTACTCCTTGGGTGTTGTTCTGTATATGTGATAATGCATGTTATATTGATATCCTTTAAATCAATGACATATTCTAAAAATCTCTGCTCTAACCTTGAAAATATTAATATGTCCTTTCTCAAGTTTGATAGTCCATTGTTTGTCGCCAGTATACCTCTTTCTAGATTGGGCTTTTATGTCAACCCAAAATCCTCCAAATTTAAATGCAATAAATATATGCTCTTTTTATCTCCATATAAATCATCTACTACTTTGTCATCATAATCCTGCATTATTGAATTATGCAACGTGCTTGTCATTTTTGCTTAACATCAAGCTGTAATAAGAAGACTGATCAAACACCAAATCGTTAGAAGAATAAAAAACATAAATATTGACACTTAAATGCCCAAAATTATATATATATATAACATAATGCACCCATTTACACATAATTAATTACAAAACACTAATTAAATATATGATTTTGCATTCTGAAGACAAAGAAAATACATGCAGAATGACGAGAGAAAGAATAGTAGAGCAAAATCAGACACTGCAAGAAATACAAAAATACATACCTATTGCGCGAGAGAAAGTATAGCATGTACGGGGAGAGCGGCTGAAGAGAAGCAAGCATGAAAAAATTTAAGGTAGAATGCACGAGAAAAAGCACACACGAAAAGAATAGCTCACGTGGGAAGGTAAAGACGGAGTGAGGCTTCCATGTTGACAAAGTGACATTTTTGTTGTTAAATTAATGTTTGAGTGATATGAATGTAATATTTAAGTTTTGAATGTTAAATATGTAATATAGATATAATAAAGTGGCATGTTTGTAAATTCTTTTTTTTCTAAGATAAATAAATAATAAATAAATATTAGATTTCTCTAGAGGGTTAAAGAATATTTATAAAAAAAATATTGGAATAACATTACCCTTTTACCATACACTATACAGCCGCGATTGCTGATTCTCGAGAGAGCGAAAAGAGAGGCGGCGAGAACGAGAAGGGCAGCGCACAAGGGGAAAGCGAGAAGAAACGGGAGCGGCAGCGTAGGAGCTACATCTCTTGTGCGGACATTAGGAGGTGAGTTAGACGAAATGGATCCTTCTCAGTTCTCTATTAGGTTTACAGGGATTTCAGATTCATCGTGATGTTCAAAACCTTTATTATTATTTTTTTAAATTAATGCGGTTCAAAACTTCGTTCTTTCTCTTTGGATCGGTTACTTGCATGATTTTCTTGGCTTCCTTATTTTCGTAATCCTTTTCTTGTAAGATAGTTGCTGTAAGAGGGAAGAGAGGGCCAATGCTTAAATTAGTTGTTGTAGGAAGGAGAAAGGGAGAGAGGGTGGGACTTAATGTGGGCTTGTGTAGCTTCCGCAGGGAAAGTAGCAAAATTGCAAATTTTTGTAGTTGACTCTCTTGTACTAGTTAGTAGATCCTTGGTATAATTTCAATGACTGAAAAGAGCCTGTAGGATCTTAGAGAAGGAGAGAAGCTCTACTTCTTGAAGAGAGGGATAAATAGATGGAAGAAAGTGAACAGAAAAATGGCATGAAACTATTACAACCTACTACAATTATTTATAGACACAATATGCTATATCAAAGGCAACACAAACTAAAGAAACTAAAAGAAAGTACAAAGAAACAACCTAAAATCTGGACCAATATCCAACAATCACCCCCCTTAGTCTAGATTTTACAAAACATCTGAATCATTCCAACCGTCTCCCAAGTCTGCAACTATTGCTAAGCTGGCGTCTTAATTGAGTCCAACTCCTTGTAGTTTCGACAAATTAGGACAATATTTCTTAAAGTGCCCTTCCTTGTGACGAAGAAAGCCCTTCTTGTTGGACTTTTTTTCTCTGGAATTCTGATATTCCTCCTGCGATCAGAATGTTGCGATATTACCTTCTTTATGTTCAGATTTTCTCTGAACGTCCTTTGACATTAAGACGTATTTTACCTCTGTCAATGTCAATATTTGCTTCTCATACAACATAGTGCCAATTATGTTCTCGTATGTCTTCGGCAGAGAGCTGAGGAGTATGATACCTCGATCTTCATTGTCTATTGTTACGTCGACATTTTTTAAAATCATCCAAATGCTTTCTAAGTTCCTTGGTTTCTTCCATTTGGAGCGTGTATAATTGCTTCTTCAAAAGTAGTCGATTAGTAAGCGATATTTTCATATAAATTGATTCAAGCTTCCTCCATACCTCTAATGTCGAGCCTTCTTCAGCAACCTCCCTCAACACTTCGTCATCAAGAGAGAGAAGGATGATATTGTGCGCCTTCAGTTTGTTTCCCTAGCCCTGGTGGTGAGGGCAACAAATATAGGGATTCCTATACCCCTCGCCCTCACGGGAGATAATCACCGAATCGACGACCCACTAAACCACGAAACGACGAAGAAGAAGAAGGGGAAGAACAAACTCTTACAATAAAACTATAAAGAAGAAATTACAAAACACAAAATTTCAAGGACTTATAAACCTTGACTCATAAACCTAGGACATCCTAAAGTTGCTGCACTTGGAAGAAAGATACAGGTGGAGTGACACTTGCGGAGAGACGAAGAGATTAGAAGCAAAGAAGAAGGGTGGAAAGAGCCCGTAGGATTTTCGGAGGGGATGAGAAAGAAGACGGACAAAGCTCGCAAGCTTATCCAAGCAAACCCGCATGTTATAGCTTTTCCAAAAATAACATATCATTCAACTTTTTAAAACAATACAATACCCCCCATATATATAGGTATGAAAGGGAAATACAAAGAGACTCCTAATAAATTCCCATAGGAATTCTAAAAGACTTAGCATTAATTCCAAATGCTTTTTATAAAAAAAAAACAGCCCAAGCCAAGGAACCGAAGATCCCCCCCCTTTGTCTACATCAAATTCTCCTCTTCTTGAAGAACTCATCTCCCGATGAGTTCGCTTTGGGTTTTCTTGAGGAGGTGCAGTGCATACTGATCATCCAGCTCTTTGAGTTTCTCACCAAACTTCTTCAAAATTTCTTCCTGTTCCTTCTCGAATTGTTGTTGCAGAAATCTCTTCCACTTCTCGAATTGCTGTTGCAGAAATCTCTTCCACTTCTCGAATTTTTGATCACATAGGAACATGTGATACTGAAGCTTGTACAGACGATCTTGAAGCGGATCCGTTGAATCACATTCTGTAGGAATCCATCTATCCAACGGGAGTGGGACATCAGGATTATTTGAATTGATTTCCTCGTTGTATGAAACCATATTTTTGTTGTTTTCCATTTTTTTAAATTGACTCAAAAAAGGCTAAAAAAACTTAACCTAAACTTAGACTCAACAAGCTAAAAACTTAAGACTCACGACAAAACTCACAATTTGACAAACAAAATCAAAACTTGACAAACTAAAACAAAACTTGATAACTCGATTTGACAACCAAACCCTAGGACTTCCTAACTTGCTCTGATACTAAATTGGTGGGGGCAAGAAATATAAGGATGCCTATACCCTTCGCCCGCATGGGAGATAATCACCGAATCGACGACCCACTAAACCACGAAACAACGAAGAAGAAGAAGGGGAAGAACAAACTCTTACAATAAAACTAAAAAGAAGAAATTACAAAACACAAAATTTCAAGGACTTACAAACCTTGACTCATAAATCTAGGACACTCTAAAGTTGCTGCACTTGGAAGAAAGATACAGGTGGAGTGGCACTTGCGGAGAGACAAAGAGATTAGAAGCCAAGAAGAATGGTGGAAAGAGCTCGTAGGATTTCCGGAGGGGATGAGAAAGAAGACATACAAAGCTCGCAAGCTTATCCAAGCAAACCCGCAGGTTATAGCTTTTCCAAAAATAATATATCATTCAGCTTTTTAAAACTATACAATACCCCTCATATATATAGGTATGAAAGGGGAATACAAAGAGACTCCTAATAAATTCCCATAAGAATTAAAAGACTTAACATTAAACCCAATTGCTTTTTATAAAAAACAAACAGCCCAAGCCAAGGAACCGAAGAGGCAATCACGAGAGCCAAGGAGACCGCCCGGAACCAAGGCGCCGCCACAGCCACGGGAAAGAGCCCAGGCGCGGAAAACCAACGGTCGGCCATAAATACAAGAGGCAAGGCACGGAAAATAGCAGCCCAAGGGAGGAAGCCAAGGAGCTACCGCATGGGAAAAGACATTTCTTGGAATTCCAAAAGACGGTTTGGAATTCCAAGAGACCTACATAATTAAAAACATAAAAAGCATAAGAAATACATTTAATATATGATAAATATGAACTAAAATCATAGCTAATAATGAGCTAACCCTTAGTTCAATAAATGAACTAAAGACCAGCTCATAAATGAGCTAAAATTTCAGCTCAAAATGATTGAGCTTGTAAACTCGAGAGAGGCCAAAATTGATTTATTTTGGACCTGAGTTGACCCCCCATTTGTCTACATCACCTGGCCCTGTCATTGATTGCAGCAAGATCTCTTCAAAAATTGTATTGGCAAGGCCTTGATGAACCAATAGAGCTTTTATCTTAATCCGCCAAAGGCTGAAATTATTCTCTCCCTAACGTATATATTTCAAATATTTGCATTGACATAATCAAGACACCAAAACTTGATTTGTGCCCCAATGCCACCAATCTGCTCCTATTCACAAGATTTCATCGAAAATAATCAAAATATTCTGCTTATTGCTTTGTGTCTGACTAGAGCAACCCGAGCATATACGCAGAACTGCGCCCTTCTCTTTGTGTGATATGCTTCAATTTCTTGATCAAGAATGTACTTCTTCGTGATTTCGGCAACAACAGATCTTCGGCACCAAACATCCCACACAAGCTCTGACTCCGAGCTTCCTTGCGCGAGCACCCGCACATCGGACTAGGCCTGCTCGTCCTACAAAGCTTTCATGCCTTCCAACCCTAATATGCAAGCCGATCTTGCCTTGGCTTCCACTCCTTTCCGCGACTAGGGTACACCCGCCTCCGTTGAGTCCGACGAACCCCGCCAAGATCGCGTGTTCCACTTGGCTTTCTTCCTGCTCACCTTCGCGTCAAGCTCTGCAAGCCCTGCGCCCGACTTCCTCCCTGCGCAGTCACACCTTGCTCGCTTAGCCCACGCTCGACATGCAACCCTCACACTCGCGGACGACCTTCTCGGCTGTCGCTTGCGAAACCTGCGCACTATTGTGCGCCTTCACCTGTGCGACCACCCAGCACATGCCATGCCAGCAGGCCTTCGCCCGACTAGCCTGCGTCTCGCCACGCGAGTCTATTGAGCGTCTGCCTTCCGTGCGGTTCACCTCCGTGTACAAGCTACGCCCACGGTGTAAAACGATTCGGTCTCCTTCCTACACAAATCCTGCCGAGCTTCCCTCCTTTTTCTTGAATGCAAGAATTTCCTCCACCTCCCTAGCTCTGATACCAAATTGTAGGATCTTAGAGAGGGAGAGCTCTGCTTCATGAAGAGAGGGAGAAATAGATGGAAGAAAGTGAACAAAAATTCTCTTGAAAATGGCATGAAACTATTACAACCTACTACAATTATTTATAGACATAATAGTCTATATCAAAGGCAACACAAACTAAAGAAACTAAAAGAAAGTACAAATAAACAACCTAAAATCTGGACCAATATCCAACAAAGCCGTTGAATTACTGCAATGGCTTTAGAAGCACCGGATTTTCTTCTCTCGATTGTTTAATGCTTGCTTCCATGATGCCTGGACGATCGTCTATGTGAGTGTCTTTACTTAAGCTTCAAAGTTCCTGGTGGGATATGGATAGGCTTCCTTATTAAGCTTTCCAGAAGGCAGGTTTCAACGCTTCTTTTGAGTGCTATGGTTTTTGTTGGTATCATGCGGGTGCTAAAGTTTTGTGTATATAGTAAATTATTAGGCATATTATAAGATTGAAACATTTGTTATTTCATTTCATTTGTCTGGTTGCCAAATATCTTATGCTTAGGTTTTCATCATGCTATTGGATTATCCCATAATGAAGTCACTGAATTTAAATGGATGGTTACTTCAAGATTCCTCATGCTTTGCCCTCCCTTCAATTTATTCCCTTGCTTCAGATAAGAAAA